TGTAACTTCAGCTGCTCCAAAATCACAGTGCCTGCAGAGTGTGGTCAAAAAAGTCAAGATGGTGGCCATGCTGGTGAGATGAAAGCTCCACCTGTTTTTTTATGTGTGTCGTGATGGAGCTTTGAATGCACCGACACATCTGCCATCTTGACTTTTTTGACCACGCTCTGCAGACCTCCCTGTCCAAAATGCTTGGTCTTCTCCTCCATGTCTTTCCCCATGTTCTGGAAAGCGCAGTGCCGCCTCTAACTCCACCAAGCCCTAGCAATGAAGGGAGCCTGGCCAGGGCACGTTAGAGTGCAGGTGGGCCCAATCCACACCTCCGATCTGACCTTGGCTGATCCCCCAAAGCTAGGAACAGTTGTCCTTGGCTAGTTCTTGACAGGAAGTCCCAGGGAGCCTCGGGCTATACTGGGAAGCAATGAGAAGCCACTTCCGTACTGTGCCCACCACAGCTGCGTGGACAGAGTCACCAGGAGGCTCAGGCTTGGGGCATCTTTACTCTGCCCAATTCCATCTACACACCAGAAGAAAGCAAGGGGCTCCCCCGCAGCCGTGGGGGTCTGTATTTTCCACCATACTTCTCGGCCACGCTGGCTCGGGCCAAGGGACTTGAAGCCCGCTGGTCCACCCAGCCAGAACACAATTACCCTCCAAAATCCACATTTTCCCTAATTTTGTAATGTAGCTTGCAATTCAGAAAAATAGATGAAAAAGCCTATAGAAGGGGAGTACAGATCCAAAGATGACACGTTAGGAAAAATCACTTGCAAGAAATGCATTTATGAGGAAGATGCACAGATTAGGAGAAATGTACAGAAAACAGCGCACGGGCATCTCTCCCTGCTTCAGAAGTGGGATAAGGCGAAGTCAAGCCTGAGAAACGAGATCGCCAAGAGGACAGGCCTTCTGAGCCTCAGGACTGCTGCTCATCCCCCAGCGGAGCCTTAGAAGCTGTCACAGGCCGCTCAACACTGCCCAAGTCCCACAGCTAGCCAAGTGGCCACCCCAGTCGCAAACACCCAGGCAGGGAGGGTGGGTGCTACTAACGGACCGAGGCTGGAATCACCTGGGACCGCAAAGAGAAGCAGACTCTCTTCTGGAAACCCCCCGGAGGGCCCTCCTCCGCCCGAGCACTCACCAGCCGGTCCGCAGCCCCAGAGAGGAGATTCTGCGCGTCCGTCCTGTGGCTGCTGTCTTCCCAGTAGGAGGAGAGAACCACGACAGGCTTCACGTTGCCCCAGGGAAGGTAGTAATACTGACAGCCTGGAAGCAGGAAAGGCAGAGCTGTCTCCATCCGGGGAGCAGCAGGTGGGTGTCTGCTTTTCCGTTTTTTAAAGAAATATCTCTCTCATGCTGTAGCAGCGGCTCTCATAGCAAAGCCTTTTCAGGCACATGAAAGGACACCAGAGGGGACGTGGTCAGGAACTCTGTTCTGAAGCCCAGAATTAGGACCAGAAATAACAGGCACACGTTCCAGCTACTGAGATGTCATTAAATGTTAGGGGAAAGAATCGGGGGGTCAGTTCTGCCCCACAGTTGACAGAGGTGGTGGCTTTCTGTCTCTGGAGGCTTTTAAGAAGAGGCTGGGCAGCCACCTCTCATGGATGGTTGAAATGGGTTTCCTGCACACGGCAGAGGGTTGGACCAGATGACCCTTCAGGCCGCTTCCAACTCCACAATTCTGCGAATCTATGAAAACAGCTAAAGAGGGTGGATCAATGGTTCCATGATTTTAAGAGCTTCACTTGCTTGTCTTTCTCAAAGAGGACCTGGGTAAGAAGGGAAGGTCAGTAGGAGCAGGAAATCCCACCCAGGGCTAGAGAGGTCAAAGAGCTTCGGTTCTGGCTGTCCCAAATGGGTGCCTCTCCCCCCTCCTTACCATCAAAGACCGCCCGGCTGAACTGCGTGGTGGAGGCCAGCGGTAGGCAGGTGTTGTCAAATTTGTTTCCATAGTTCCCAATGCTGACCTCAAACTGGATGGCATCGCCCACACCCTGCAGCATGGTGGCCGAGTAGAAGGCTGCAAAGAGGTTGTATTTCCGCCGACGCAGGTACTTCTGTGGAAGACCAAGAATCAGTGCCAAAGGCTCGGCCACTCCTGGAGAAGCCCATCCTAGGTACTCTAGCCTGGAGTAAGAGCCACTATGAGTCACACACCAGGACTTAGTTAACCATTGTAAACTTTTGCACCTTAAGGTGAGACATAAGCTGTGGTGTACAAGCCGTAATGGCTGGGTTCCTACAACTTGCCATAAGCATCAAAGACATAATGGCCGTGCAGCACTCAACCCAAAACCAAACTGAGCAGATGATGGCTTAGTACAACGTGTGTAACCAGTCCATGCCCTTACCTCTACCCGCAGGATGTCATCAGCAGGGATGTCTCCCAACTTCTGTTCGACATGGTCTACCAGCTTGGTCTCCAGTTCCACCAGCAATCTGCCACGATAAGCCACACCCTCTCCCTTGGGGGATAAGAAGGGTCATGAGGCTATGAGAGGGGCTCTCTTCACAAGCCAGCTATTACTTCCAACTTGCCCAGGTAGGTGAAGCCAACTGCTTCTTCAGGGTTTCAAACCAGCTACTCAGAACAGTTGCTTCACCTTGCCAGTGTTGAGCTCTTCGTAAGGGTCAGGGAATCCAGTGAACTCTCTTGGGCTGCCGTAGAGGTTGATGTAACATGGGCCAAAAGTGGGCAGGAAGCCAAGGCTATCATCAACTGTGGACAGACCAGAAGAAGCCCATCAAAGTGGAACTATGGAAACAGTTCTCTAGCTGGGATAACCCATCTGGGACCTTTTTATAGACCACCCAAATATTCTTCTACTGGTGGCCAGAACAGAAGCAGGATGTTTCTGAATCTTTTGAAAGCAGTGGAACTGAGGGGAAATCCTTGTATTTTTTTAAACCCCTAACATTAAACTAGGGTGAGAATGGACATGCTTGCAATCTGTACTCAGCTGTCATGCCATATCTGTCCAATGATCCCTGCCTTCTAGATGTCTAGCAATCAAAGCAAGGTGTCTCACCATCTAGGGCTACAGAGGTCACCAGGGTGAAAACTCAGTGACTACGCTCATGGTTTGGAGACACCTTCACCAAGCACCAGACACATTCACAGCCAACTGCCCAGATTCAGCCCATGTATTGTTGGCATGCTAAAGAGTTTGCACAAAAGACCCATCGTGCTCAATAAGTGTTTTTCAACCTTGACAACTTGAAGATGTATGGACTTCAACTCCCAGAATTCCCCAGCCAGCCATGCTGGCTGGGG